TTCAACATTCTCAGAAGAGTTTTGTATTTCAGAAGATGTCCAACTGTATTCAAAATAATGTCTGTTTCAATTCATTGTCGTTCTTATATAATTATTATTATATATATATATATGTATATATTGTATATGACCGATGACATCAATTTGATACATGTATAGACAGATCAGTATGTCCACATCCTCAAGGGTACTCTCTTCTTCCCATTTTTGCCTGCTGCTAAAAATAAACCAAAAGTAATAAAGAGTTCATATTTTCAGAATAGATGAAAAACTTTTTTGGATATGTTTTCTTTATTGTTTCAACTATTTATCTGTTATTCTTTTAGCAGAGATGCATCAGACTCCATCACAGAGATGATCTTTTCTTTACTGGAAATACTTTCCGATTTATCGAGTTTTTATAAATGAAAAACTCGGATTTTTTATCGGTAATTCAGTATTTTTGCTATAAATCGAGAAGGAAGAAATATTCTTTGACGTTTCAAAAGAGTTTTTCATCTATTCTGAAAATATGAACTCTTTATCACTTTTGGTTTATTTTTAGCAGCAGGCAAAAATGGGAAGAAGAGAGTACTCTTGAGGATGTGGACATACTGATCTATCTATGCATGTATCAAATTGATGTCATCGGTCATATACAATATATACATATATATATATAATAATAATTATATAAGAACGACAATGAATTGAAACAGACATTATTTTGAATACAGTTGGACATCTTCTGAAATACAAAACTCTTCTGAGAATGTTGAACTCAAAATAAATGAACAACGTCAATATACAGCTACTTCTTGAAATTTTGTTCAAAAACCATGCCACAGTGGACCAAAATCAACTTTTGAAGTTCAAAAATTGTGAAAAGTCAAATAAGTTTTCAATTATTTTCAATCAATATTTCTTTCGAAGCATAGTGAATGGATCATTTCTATATAGAAACTGATCTTCATGCTTTTTCCTCATATCTGCGTGTTAATTCGTTCGAGTACAACTTATTTATTTGGCTTGTACGAGCATAAAGTGCCAGTAAAATGTGTACAGTAAGATAAAATGAGCTACAATTGAAGAATATAAAGGGATGAAAAACCACTCCAATAGAAATTTAACGCTAAAATCTCTTATTAGTGATGAATGGGTATTTTTTTGAAAAGCAAACTATTCATTGGACTCGGAAAGTAATGTAAACAACACAGGAAATCGTAGCTAAATAAAAATATTTTGCATTACTAATAATTAATTAGTTAAAATGAAGGTGATGATTTTTACTCTAAGCATTATAATACGAAATTTTATTGCGATTATACAAAGATTATGACTGACCATTATACAAAAGAGACATTTTAAAAATAAAGGCTGAAAATTAACTACAACTGGAAAGAAAAATTTTTCAAAAACTAATCTCAGTTGAAAAGAAAATAATTTAGAAAATGTATTTTTGATATAAATGATAATCACATATTATGTTGAACAATATAGCAAAAAAAGCTACTCTTGAAATAACTAGAGATGGTTATATGTACAAAATTCAGCAATAGTTTCTAGATAAAGGGAGTTATGGCTAGACATGTAAACTGATCGGTCGCCACTATCAACAGTGAATATTTCGTCCAGCGGATAAAAAGTGAAAAAGTGTTTCAAAATTTTTGTCTTCAAATTTATCATGAGTTTAGCAAAAAAAACGTAAATAAATGATTTCGAATGACATGCTATAGTATTTTTTGAATCACTTTACAAAACCTTTTATCATTCCGATTGTTTCTTATGATGTTGAATAATTAAATATTTGCGTATTTTACAGACTTATTCCCTGTGCTGGAAGCCATCACAAAAGAGCGTATGTAATTACGACCTAAAAGCCTATTTCTGAGACAAGTAAGTTAACAATGTGAATAAAAATGTGTTACTATAAATTATCAACCATGAATAATGTTTGAAACACTGCTAGTGATAGGAAGGAGAGCCCGCTCGCAAATGGCGAAAAAAGTCGCTGTCACCGACTGAAAACAAAACTATTCTAACCATTGGCGATCGGATGATCGGTTGACATGTCTGATTTCAGCAAAAAACAAAGGACTCCAACTCAAATTTTGGTTCAGGTTCTGCTATATAGATGCAGTCGAAACAATAAAAAATTCATGTTCTCTTCAAAACATCTTATGAACAGAACAGTGTGTAAAGAAACTTGTAATATACGAAACAAAATCGAATCGTCAGTCTCGTTAACGAAACTATGAATATATTCTGTGATTCTAAGTGAAACCACTTTCGGCGAACAACAGTATAGTAGCGATACATTATAACGGCAGGACCCTATTGGATATAATCTCTGCAATAAACTAACAGTTCAAAACTAAAAGTCTTGTCAGGTATGAAAATCACACTTAGTGCACTGTTACAGAATTATTTCGTTCGAATTGCTGTTCGTTAAAAAATAATAAAAATAAAAATGAATTTTAAATTAGCGATAAATCATTAATAATGACGAGATTAGAATTGGGAGGATTAAATTGAATATACTACTTGTTGCTAAGTGTATGGCACCTCCAAATGTCTCACCCATATAAAATTTCCTTGCGGATTGCTTACATCGCACATCATTTGTATAAGTGTCACAACCGTACAGCCCACCTTGACAGTTCACATTTGCTTGTTTCATTATATAATCCATGAACATACTTAATTGTTCAACATCATCTTTAACTTCCATAATGCTACAATTCGTAATGTGTTTACCGGCACACTGAATATAATTATACGCCGCTTTACACCATAACATTTTTTCATTCACACTCCAAGCACTTTCAAATTTTGAACGTTCATCTAAAATTTCGTTACACTCCTTTGCTGCCTATAATACGATTACGACACAATAAAAACACGCAAACTAACTCCTTACTCACAATAACTAACCTCTTCAACTTCACAAGCGGGCATGGCTGTCGTCGTACTACCAGTCGTTGTTGTTGTCCTTTGAGTTGGCTGTGTAGTTGTACGACATTTGTAATTGATAATAGTACTTTCGCCTAAACCGGCACAATATTTACCTAATCTCCATGCCTTGAAGATAAATAGATCATATCTCATCATTTTCATAAATCATCATTTATTATATTTAATTTACTTACATTTCGTTGTAGTCCAACTTCAAATGCTGCTAGAGCACCAGTATGTTCACTTCTCAAATCACAACAATGTAAACGTTCATTGATACAATCGGCATATCTTTTTCCTTGTTCACAGTACGCAAATAATTGATCACGTGTATATAAATCTGATTTCATATTTTCTTCATCTTCAACAGAAGGTGCCTGTGGACAATCGGATGCTTTCCAAATATTACAAGAATAAGAATAATCAACAATTATTATAAACAACAATACAAAATTAAGTTTCATTAATGACATCTTCGTTTTAGTTTAGTAATAATGAACGAAAAAAGTGATGATAGCGGTGGTGGCTGTTTCATTCTGCCACACAAAATGATTTGAAACTAAACATATAACTCACAACTACTTAGCATATAGAAGGAGCGAGAGAGAAAGAGAAACGAAAAGTTAAAATGTAGGTGTCACGTACTTAATTAAAACATAGATAAGATATTTATGTTTAATCCATTGTTTGATTTATCCTTTTAACTCCGAAAAACAATTATGTAATAATACAGTATATGTAATAAAAGTGTAACCAAAGCAATCTTTTAGCTAATAACTTATCTAGTTTTTTGGAAACAATATCTCCATTATCAAATTCTATTAGATACAACAAAATAGCTAACTTTTCAAACAAAATATATTGTGCAACATTATCTGAATAATATAACTTATTTAGTTAAAAATGACATTATTTTGACGTGAAGGAAGGTTACGACGATTATGTAAACAAAACAAATCGTTCAAAATAAATGTAGTTTATCTTTTTTCTCTCTCCGTCTTGTGATTATGAATATAAAACAACATTTTGTTAAACGTCACAAATCTAACATGTGTATATAATTAAAATTCGAGAACTAAACAGCTGATTTGAACCCCTCAATCGATTCATCTTAAGTTCATAAACTAGAGAAAATTGAGACGATAAGGAAAAATAGTAGGTTTTTTTCAATAAACACTCTAATCAACAGATTCATCATTTATTATTTTCAATTTTGCATACACATTACTTCCCCAGAAAAATAATTTGTAAATTAGGATAAGAACCTTATTCGACTCTTATCAAGTTCTTATCAAGACTGACCGAGAAAGATTCAGAATTTCTTGAGAATCGTATAAGAATCTTAAAAAAATATCATAAGAAGTTCATAACAATTCAGTAAGATTGATCACAAAATTATAAAACGTGATCGATGTAAAACTGATCGAGCTGGTCGAAGTTGATCGATCATTGAAATGATTATTGTTCTAGAAGCAGATGCGATATCAATCGGTCATATAATAGCTTTCTATCCACATCTGATGATATTATTGACAGAGCCCTGTAGATTACGACTTTTTGACCACCTATAATCTAATCTATAAAAAGGTTCACAATTTAACCACTATTAACGTTTTTCGTAACCTAACCTAGGTTAACCGAATAAAATCTATGCAATTTTTCCCAAAACCTGGTTTCAGATGGCTAAACTTCGGCTTTATTTCAGATCGTTATTGTTTCGTATTTAAACACCGTCCGATAGAAAAAATAGCAAAAGCTTATACAAAATACATCACATTTTAAACAAATAAAGAAAGGGTTGAATCTTTTATTTTCTTTAATGCAACGTTTCGAAAATAGCTTTCTGAGTACGGGATCACCTTAAAAAGAGTAGACCAGAATTTTATTTTAGGCTCTCGACGCGGCGAAGGTTCTGCTATTGTTGTGTATTCGCCATCTATTTTCAGCTAACGTAAGTTTTTTCTCTGTACTTTCTTTTCGACTGTGCCATTTTTCTGTTTAAAAATAGTTCAGTTTAAACTAGGGAAGCTCGGTCTGAACTTTATTGATTGAGCAATAAAGTTCCACTTAACGAGTTCAGAGTTACATCCCTGCGACTAATATAAGTAAAAGTTAGTGCGATTAGTGCTAAGCGAAAGTATGAGAAAGTTTCAGCTTGGGACAAGCGAGGGATATCTGGTATTGTTTGTGTCAGTTATTTGACTCAATTACTACGCTTTATTACTCAAAGTATTGGAGATTTTAATGCGGTCGTTCAAAATCGTGTTTTTTTTCGTTTAAGCTAAAAATAGGTTACTAATACCGTAACCTACAACTAAACCTATAACGAATTTCACAACCTAAACCTAACCTATAGGTTAAGTTAAGTTAGGCTTAACATAAAGGGGTCTAATTATTGATGACATGTGCCGCAGCTTCATAGCAAACGCGAAAATTGTCTTTTGAAATGAAGTCATTGTTGAATTTACCTGTTGGAAACGATTGATTGTGTATTATATTATGCTTGATTTCACCATTTTCATTTATTTTGCTAGAAAAGTTACAGGGAAGGGTAGTAAATAACGAGTGAGGAGGAGTTGAAAACGGTTCACTAATTCTTCCTAATTCGATTTTGTTTACAAGAAGACGCGTGTACATAATGTTGAACAACTTCCGGATGATTGTGTCAGATGAGAAACCCCTGAAATGCATTAAAACTGTATCGAAAACCGTTTGTTTAATAAATGTTTTGCTGGTTTGGAAGAGAGCTTGGTGATGATGGTCGAGTTCCTCAAGAGGCATTGCTGTTTCGTTCTTCCATTTCACTTTTAGATTTACATTTATGAACTAGATGTTGTTTACAACATAAGGAATACATATGTCGTCTATAACAATTTGGAAAGCCAGATTGACGAATTGGATTATTAAAGTTAGAACGAAGGACGGGAGCGCATTAGAGGGAGAATCTTCTCACTCAAATTTTTCTATTTCCAAAGATCGAATTTATTAGAAAAGTCACGTTTCTATTATTCTCTGTCATTCCCGAGGGAAAAAAGTTAAAAAGGGGTGAAAAACATTTTTTTCCACCATTATCATCTTGCTGACCCATCCAACTAGTAATTTATTTATTTCTCTTGGCTAAAACAGTAGATAAGATTCATTCAACCACTGCTAGATAGACGATGAAAAACTGAACTGAAAGACATCCAAATCATATCTACACTGCTAGTTGTTAAAAAATAGCAGACCAAACTTTTATATGGTCATATACTTAATGGGATACAGATTCACAAAATTTTAATTTTTTTGTGTACTTAAAAGTTAGGTTGCATCTTAGTTTAAATGTAATTTGATAGAGCATGCAATTCTCTACAAGATGACCGACTCATTTTTACGATTTGTATTGGGTCCGATTTTTTTGTGAAAAGTGTGAAGCTATGGAGTTCATAGTATGATACTGTACTCTCCGCAGGTGCTATGGTTCCCATTTTCTCATTCAAAGAAAAATGTGTCATTCAATCCGAGAACGTATCAATACACGAATTTTCTTAACAAAATTTAAAAATGAAAACTACGCAGAAAATGCTACGAAAACTCCGAGATAATAAGCTGCTCAATCTGAAAAACTGATTTTTATTTCATTCACTAGTGTTTTGATGGTATAAAAGAAATCAACTAGGCACTTTCATTTTAAACAAAGTTTTGATTGTTTGATTGCAACAGTCAAGTGTTCTATGAGGAACCTGATGATCCTACATGAAAGTAGACGTTGAATATTAGCAAAGTATGCGATATCTGAAGTCTATAATGGATAATCTGTCAAGCTGGAGGAACACCAATATATTGAAAGAGAAAAAACAAAATTTCGACAATGACTTCCCATGTGAACTTTCACGCCGAACTCATGGTGGGTCTCACGCCACAAGTCACGTCAAGATCGCGAAATATGACGCAATGTCGCAGGGATCTTGTCAAAACGAACAGCATCGTGGCGCGATCTCGTATAATCCTAGGCGAACTCTTAGAATTGCACCATGATCCTGATCCAATCGCTATTCTTATAGCGATTCTAGAGCAGACGAGCTATCTCGCAGCATGTCTCACGATAGTGACGACGAGAGTCTCAAAAATAACTTTATTTTCAGAAATTCTCGATTTCGTATTTTGTGAAAGTCGTGCAATGGGGAACACGACTTTTGATGCGAAAACTAACCTTTAGAACAGAAAATAAAATAAAATTCTAATGTTTCTTTTGTTCTTTTATATAAGCTACCATACGACTTTTTCCTGATCGCAGAGCAACAGCAGGATCGCGCCACGAGTTCAGCATGAAAGCTTGCTTGGGTTATTGTGTTTAATGCATTCGAACGTATAGCTTTGTCAATTTCTTTTAAATTAGAACGAGCTCGAAATATTCTAAATATTTGTGGCGGAAAACTGTCTTTTCGTATTCAGCGCACTCAATAACCCAGAAGATTTTCTTTTCTCGGCGACACATATTGCCAAAAGTTTAGGAAATTGTTCGAACAAAATGGCGAAAAAAACTTCCATAGGAAAATAATATTAGCTTCAAGATTTCTCCTAAACTTTTGGCAATACATCTCGCCAAAAATAGCGAGCACACCCACGGTTTTGGAATATTACTGTTAAAATGACCTTTTTATCATACTCCACGATACTATTTCAACTTTTTCACCAAGAAAGAACCTAGATTGCGGTCTAGATTATATATCAAAAGAAAGCTTTTTCAAAACTCTACAAATATCTGGTAATTCATTTCTGGTTGAAAGTGTGAACACCCACTTTTACGAATATTACTACTGGAGAGTGGTGTTTTAGGCTCAATCCATATAAAACCTACCACCATTTGCATCGATTTGACGTCAGTGACAAGACCTACCTCATACTATAGAGCTCACAAAGCTGAACCGAATAGTGAAAACCGCAAATCTCTAGCTTTGTTAGAAAAACAGTTATAGCCATTTCGCCCTCGCAGCGGAAAAATGCATTTTCCGACGGATTTGGCCTAACTTGAAGTACGTCTGCTGACCATATTCCCTATTGTAGAACCTTGAAGTTGGTATTAAACGAAAAAGCGCGTCGAGTTCTATATATTTCGATGAAGAAAAGTTATGCTACATCTCGGAGGCTTGAGATAGGAATTTCTGAAAAAAAACCGTTTTCTAGAAAATCTAATGACCTTAAAATTTCTTTCAGAAGTTTTTCAACCATATCATTAGATGGTCCCGTTAATTCTCCACAAAATGAGATGCTAACCAAGTTTCTATGATGTTGTGTCAAAAAGTGCCATAGAAAATACGATACAGATCGAAAATACAGATCGAATGAATTTATATTCGTAATGTTAAAATGCCTGAAACTCGGTCTTGCAAGATCGCAGAAACCTGGCTAGCATCTCATTTTGTGGAGAATTAACGGTGTGTGAAAATTTCCTTTACAGATAGAGCTTATGGCGTGATGGAAGCATCATCTGGCTGACGCAAAATACGTCATTAGGTCGTAGTCTGAAGCAGTTTGTCTCTTTAAAAACGGTCGAAAAACGAGCCGTAATAAAGTCCCAGTTAACGGTGAAAAAACGGTGTAAAAACGGTACGTTTACGGCCCATTAACGTAGACTTAACGGGACGTTAACACGCCGTTAATTTGGCCGTTTTGAACCACCTGGGCAAATTAGCAATCATAAGACTGGATGCTTTCCTGCTTTAGGAAACTACGCTATACACCTCAACGACAACAAAACACGTCATTTCTAAAGTTATAGTCTGTCCTTTATGAAGTGGTATGAGCACTTTACCAAATAACATTATCAAACTTTGGTCATGCATAGGTTACCGTTAGCTGGACAAGCCGAGAAACATGTCTCGAAAATTAAAAAAATTGTTATTTTCTCCACAAACAAAGAATGATCTATTTTTACTCTCCGCGTCGCTTCTCTGTCACATGTTATTCTTTACTCTTACGCTAGTACTTTTTATTCTGTTATGTGTATGAACGCATTTTAGACGAAATCGAAAAAAATATATACCAAAAGAAAACACAGTGTGCAACAACATGGACATTAGGTGAAAAAATGAAAGTGAGATTTTTGGAACTTTGAACCATGGTATATATGCATTAGCCAACGGACAATTTATTTGTGAAAAAATTTTGGTTTCAGCGTTCATCATCTTCGAGAAAAGTAAGTCGTATAAACTCAAGGGGGAAAGGCGTCTCCGCACGAATCCGGGAAGTTCCCCAGGCATCCCTAAATATCCCAAAGTTGTCCTAAGAGTACAAAAGCCTTCTATAAACCTTTTATACGTGTATATCCGTGGATATTATCACTCGGACCAGTTCGTTGCCAGAATCATTCTGGCATCCTTCCTGGCCTCCTCCCTCGAAAACTTCGCGTCAGCAGAAGGCGCAAGGTATTGAAGTTGGCTAGATGGTTTTTCTTGTGGCGGTTTACTAGAAATCCCGTCAAAATCCTCAGTTGCTCATAAATATTGAATCTAAACTAAGTTGAAATTGGAATTCAGCATGTCATTTTATGCGTAATTTAGTATTTTTTCCAACTGTCTGTTTCTCTCACTTTTCGTTAATGAACAGTCTTAGTCTTAGAGGTACAACTATCTGTTTGTCCAACCGTCAGACAAACGAGTTGGTTTATGATAGTTTTAAGCAAATACTAGAATGTCGCATTACTTAATAAATTGCATAACGGCCATTTTCTTTTGTCTCAGATAAAAACATTTAGCTATGAAAAGTCAGTAGCCGCTATCAATAACGATGATTTTTACTTTCTTCTTCATCGTTGTTGTTCTGCGATATACCGTACCTTATTTTATGAACTACGTTGAAGAAATTAAAGAAAAGTTGTTTTTATCGCTTTTGCTCCGAGGAGGTTCAAGACTGGACCTAGCTGATGCCAAGATCGCCGAAGAGGTCTAAAATTTTATTTTTACTTTTGTGTTTTATTACTGTGAATTTTTACTTTTTTGTTCATTTTCTATAAGCGTCCTTAACAATTATAAACTGTACAGTAAGAGTAAAATAAAAGTTATCTGGCCGCAACGGTCAAATTTTCTCAACATTTTCTTTACGTGGCTTCTTTACAATACGAAACAACTTTTACGTTTGTTCCAAGGAAGGTCAAAACTGGATCTAGCTGTCGCCAACACTGTCTGAAAGGACTAAATGATAGCAATGTAAATTGTTCTTCCAATACAGAAAAAAAAGTTGTCTGCTCCGATGAACAGTAACCACTCATTCCGGCTATGCAGTATCTTGTAATGTTCGCCACCTTTCCGCAAAATGTAGCAAAAAAAAATGCAGCAATCAACAGGAAAAACATACGATCACTGTAAATTTGAAAAAAGAAAGTCTATGTTTAGATGTCATTAGGATGTGACATTACCACAGAAAAAACGTTAACAAAATATATATAAAGTCAAAGTTAAAACGTGACATTAGTTTTCATGATGCTACGTTTTTACTGTGACTTTTTATGTTCTTGCCGTTACTTTTTTTTACAGTGTTCTGTTTATTGAAAAAACAACAAAAGTGTGACATCGTTACAGTTTTAGTTAGCAATGTCAAACCAGTGAAACAGTAATGTTATCGATATACCGTTTTTTTCATCCATGACTTTGTCATGCACCTACGGAGAGAAGAACACACATACTAATGACACATACTAAGTGAACCACTCGTTAGAGGAAGTAATTACGTCCATCTGTGAAATTTAGCCATGTATAGTAGAAATCAAGAGAATTAACTCGTTCTGTTTATTGAAAAAACAGCAAAAGTGTGACATCGTTGCAGTTTTAGTTGGCAGTGTCAAACCAGTGAAATACTAATCTTATCAATATACCGTTTTTTTCCATTCATGACTTTGTCATACTATACTAAAAGTATAACCGCGTCAGCACTAAAGTGTATCGTAAAAGTTTTTCATGATTATGGTGCAATTCTATGTGGATACCTTTTTCTAAAAAGGTTACGCAGAAACCATATCAACAAAGATAACGTTTTAGACTACTACACTGATTGAATAACATCTGCATTCGCCTTTATCTCGTTTGTAGTGATTTCTGATACAAATTCCCTGTGAATAAATTTCAAAGAAAAATAAAACGTTATTGATGATGAGGATAGATGACGGCAGTTTCCTGTCAACATAAGAAATGAGGAGCAGTAGCAATTGAGTAGAGTCAAGAGAAAATAAGAGGAAAACGATGACGTTATAAATGAATTCGTCATACTCTACTTTTCTTATTTTAGGTCACTTAACTTTTGACGACAAAGAAAAGTCAACACGAAAACTAATTCAAGCATGAGTATGCATCTTATAGCACATTTTGGTTTTTAAAATTTCTGGTTTCTCTTTAGGTAACTTCCTTACAGTTTCTCGTGGTCGTAAGAGAGATTCCAACAACGTTGATCAATCATTAACAAACATTATGCAAAATGAAACACCGAATACATTCATTGAACTCAAAATTCTTCCGCTAATATACAAGAATTGTACAACATCAGTTTTATTAATGCTAGAAAATGCTCGCTTACGATGCTCTATAGCAGATTATAAAGCCATTTTAAAACACTTGTGTGAAGTATTAGATTATAGTTCGTACAGAGCTCGAAGCTTGCGATTGGCTTCAATAAGAGCAGATATGCGATCGGGTTCAGCAAGAAGACAGAGATTATCTGAACGATCGACCGCGATGCCATCCACTACAGATGCCGAAAATTATCATTTAGCCATATTGTATTATGTTGCTAGCATATGTCATAAACTGAATATCAATGATTCCGAAGTATGGCATAGCTTATTAAAGAATAAATTGACACAAACGCCCAAAGTAAATAATCAAATTAAGAGTAATACTTTTATATGAGGTTCTTAGGATTTCTGAAATAGACTCACATATAGAGTGGAAAACGTTGGATGGTTCTGCGCTCGAAATAGTTGTCAGATTAACAATATATGAACATTTTTGTAAGCTAATTGAGTATGTACTACACTAATTGTTGAATTTTGCCCTAGAGAGTTATAATGCTTATTCCATTTATATTTTACGCATTCATTTCTCGTATTTAAATTGATGAATGTTTAAATTAAATTTTAGTTTTATCGTTATTTATTGTCACATAATATTCAAATCCCTTTAATCGACTGGACATCGATAAATTCTACTTTTCTCCCGCGTCGCCAGCGTCGTCAACTATGGACACCAAAAATGAATATGAATTTAATCCGTGTGAGTATGCGATCTAAAGTAGATGTTGCATTTTTCGTTCATACTCTGAGTGAATATATGTAATTTATAAATATTTCAGATGGGTTGCATGAATGTATTGACATCATCAGATTTTTCAAGTATTGCCAATTGGGAGAAGTTAATGTACTATTTAAGAATGTATGAACAAGAATTTCGTTTGACTGATAAACCGTCAGTGGTATTCCCAGTAACTTTAATATTTAAAAAGATAAATACACCAGAAAAGCTATCACTATTTATAAATTATTTTCCAGAACATAATCTTAATGAATTGATTTCCATCCACCGATATCGGATAATAAATTGTACGTTATTTGATTTATTGATTAGTATGCAACCATTTTTTTATTTAAATGATGATGATGATGATAGTCGATCAGGTCCAAATAACAAAAAAAAATATAGGACGTTACGAATATTAAAGTTATTCAATTATTTTGTGTTGAAAAGTGCTATGGTAAATAACTGTGAGTTATCAGTGATTTCCATCAGAAGAAGACGATAGATTCCTTTTTATTTGGAACAGATTATTTACAAAAGTTTGAGAATCATTCGTATGGTAGATCCATGAGAAATCTTTTTATTTATTAAATTTTT